GAGGGAGGAGGGGCGGGGGGCCTAGGCTCTGGGTCTGAGGGAGGAGGGGCGGGGGGCCTAGGCTCTGGGTCTGAGGGAGGAGGGGCGGGGGGCCTGGGCTCCCAGGTCTGAGGGAGGAGGGGCCGGGTCACTCATGCCCCAGACATCCAGGACTAGAGCCAGGATTTCTCTAACCTCCACCGCAGTTAAGCAAGTTCCCCCTTCCCTCCTGGGCGCCCCTCTCCAGACAGAGGAAGTGAAACTATAGGTTCCTGTCTTCCCTGCGGGGTCACGCCCTCTGAGGCCACAGCAGACAGTCCCAGGGTGGGCCCTGCTTCCCGAGCCCAGCTGAGCAGTGTCCCCTGGTCCACACTGTAGGGCGCTGGTCTCCTATTCTCCACTAGAAGCGCAGGCCTCTTCCCTTCCTCAGTGAAGAAGCGGGGGCTTCTTCCCCCAGGGATCCAGAGCCACGCAGCCCTCACTGCCACCCACTCCTGTGCCCCTTCCTTGAAGGGTGACCTCGGGGAAGTCACTTAACTTCTCTGAGCCTCGGATCCCGGCCAGGCTGTCCCCTGTGCTGCCCCGGCCCTCTGCATTCCCAAGAGAGTGAAGAAGGGCTCCGGGGTCTCTGGGAGACTGACGTCCCCCATCCCTCCCTCTCCCCCACCCCCAGCCTCCGCTATCACAACCTGCACCCGGACTACATCCACCAGCGGCTGCAGAGCCTGGGCAAGAGCTTCGCCCTGCGGGTCCTGCTCATCCAGGTGGACGTGGTAAGCCAGGGGCGCTCCCCCGCCGGCCTCACCGTCCCCGCCTGTGAGATGGGAGTGTTGGGCCTCACAGTAGCCGAGTGGACTGTTGAATCCCTTCCAAGGAGACACGCAAGTTGAAACCTCAGGGAGGAAGCGTTTTTCACATGAGATTGACACCCTGTGTGGGCAAGGAGGTGGGAGGGTAAAATTGTCCATCTCCTTCCCCGCACCCCCTTCAACTAGTCCCAGCCCTCTGCCACCTAAATATTTCTTAAATCTGTTTCATCCTCTCTATCCTCACAGCCTGGCCCCATCCAGGCCCCCTCCTCTCTGGCCTGGGTCCCTCCCCCAGCGTCTTCCTTGTCTCATAGCCTCCAGCCTTGACCCCTGCCATCCTTACAGCAGCCAGAAGGGTCTTTCCAAAGCACAGATCAGATGTCAAAACCCCTCCATGGCTCCACAGTGCCCTCCATGGCCCGTGAGTGGCCCACCCCCGCCCATCTCTCTGGGCTCATTTCTATATATATATATTTTTTTTTAATTTTTATTTATTTATTTATTTTTCCCCCAGGGCCCCAGTAGATAGTTGTATGTCATAGCTTCACATCCTTCTAGTTGCTGTATGTGGGACGCAGCCTCAGCATGGCCGGAGAAGCAGTGCTGCATCAGTGCACGCCTGGGATCCGAACCCAGGCCGCCAGCAGCGAAGCGCGCACGCTTAACCGCTAAGCCACAGGGCCGGCCCTCTGGGCTCATTTCTAAGCTTCCAGGCGATCACCTTTCTTTCCCATCCTCCATCCCATATTGAGTGAATTGTGGTTCCTCAAGCCTTTCCCCTCACATCCTTTGCACGTGCTGTTCCCTGTGTCTGGAATTCCCTTTTTAGCTTTCCTTTGCTGCCTTCACTCCTCATCCTCCTTCAGGTCTCAGCTCAGATGTCCCCTCCTCCAGGAAGCTCTCCCTGATCCCCAGGCAGGGCATGCTCCTCTGGCTCCCCGGTCCCAGCTCTGGCCACTCTGGCTCATCACTGGCTGGGGACAGGTCTCATCAGACTGTGGGTCCCGGGAGGGCAGAGCCAGGGCTGTATCAGTCCCTGCTGGGTCCCAGCACTGCCCAGCACAGGAGTGTCAGTTGAGTGGAAGGCTCTTGGCATCCTAAGCTACTGTGTTTTCAAGACCATAATTCCTTGCTTTCTCCCAGATCTCTCATTCTGATTTTCTTTTCCACCCAGAAAGATCCTCAGCGGGCCCTCAAGGAGCTGGCTAAGATGTGCATCCTGGCCGACTGCACCCTGGTCCTTGCCTGGAGGTGAGATTGAGGCTCCCCACCCAGGTCAGGCTCTACCCTGAGACATTACCCTTCCCCCACCTTCCCAGTCCTTCCCTTCTCCTCCCAGGAGCTCCCTGTGTGAGCCTGGTCCAGGCTCTGCCTCTCTCTGGGCCTCAGTTTTTTCATCTATAAAATAGAGTCTTAATACCTTTCTTGTAGGGTTGTAAGCACAAAAACAGGTGACGTAGCTCAAATTCCCAGGACCATACTGGGCCCCTGTGAGTTAGACAGAAAATCTGGCTGAATAATTAATTGCATGTCTAGGTTTCTAAAGGCCAGTTAGATTGGCTCTCCAATTGGAAAAAAAGAGATCCCTTTCTCACACTGTAAAAAAAATTAAATCCTGACAAATTACAGACATAAAAAGAAAAACAATAGGGGGCCGGCCCGGTAGCGTAGTGGTTAAGTTCACACGCTGTGCTTCGGCGGCCCAGAGTTCGTGGCTTCGGATCCCGGGCGCAGACCTACGCACTGATCATCAAGCCATGCTGTGTCAGACGTCCCACATGTAAAGTACAGGAAGATGGGCACAGATCTTAGCCCAGGGCCAATCTTCCTCAGGAAAAAAAGGAGGAGTGGCAGTGGATGTTAGCTCAGGGCTAATCTTCCTCACCAAAAGAAAAAAAAGAAAAACAATAAAAGTCTGACAAGAAATCTTATGGGAGAATATTTTTTAAAATCCTGTGGTAGGAAAAGTCTTCCAAAGCCAGACCCAAAACCCAGAAACCATAAAGGAAAAGGTAGGCTGATTTGGGAAAATTTAAATTTTAAAATTTCTGGAGGGTAAGAGATAATCTACCTGGAGATAGCGTCACATCCCACGGGTTAAGGGCTCAGTCCCACAAGGCAGTCCCACACACACACTTCAGACGCCAGTCACGAGCCCGGGTTGTCACCTGTGCTTCTGACCAACGGGCTACAGATCAGAGGTTCCAATGACCCCCCTCGTCAGGTGATTAATTTGCTAGACTGGCTCACAGAACTCAAGGAAACACTTCCTGGTGTTTACCAGTTTATTTACTTATTTATTTTTTGTGAGGAACGTTAGCCCTGGCTAACATCCATGCCAATCTTCTTCTACTTTATATGGGATGCCACCACAGCATGGCTTGAGAAGCGGTGCATCAGTGCGCGCCCGGGATCCGAACCTGTGAACCCCGGGCTGCCGAAGCAGAGCTCGTGCACTTAACCACTGCGCCCTGGGCTGGCCCCTGTTTACCAGTTTATGAAAGGATATGATGAGGATTCAGAGGAACAGCCTGATGAAGCAATCCACAGGGCCAGGTCTGGGAGGGTCCTGAGCGCAGGACTTTCTGTCCCCGTGGAGTTGGGGTGTGTCACCCTCCCTGTGTGGATGTGCTCACCAGCCCGGAAGCTCTCCAGCCCTGTACTGTTGGGATTTTATGGAAGCTTCCTTACGGAGGCATGATCAATCATTAACTCTATTTCCGGCCCCTCTTCCCTCTCTGGAGGATGGGGGGTGGGGACGAAAATTCCAAGCTTCTAATCCTGGCTTGGACCTTCTGGTGACCAGCCCCCATCCAGGAGCCACCCAGAGTCACCTCATTAGAACAAATGATGCTCCTAGTTCTCTTAGAGCTTAGGAATTGACAAGGGTTTCAGGAGCTCTGTACCAGGAGCTGGGGGCAGAGAGTAACATATATTTTCTGTTTTCTCACAGTCGCCTTTTCAGATTGGCTTCTTTCTCTTAGCAAGATGCTTTTAAGGTTCCCCCAGGTCTTTTCATGACTTGGTTAGCTCATTTTTTATCACTGAATAATACCCCACTGTCTGGATCCACATTCTTTCTCAGCTGCATAGTATTCCATCGCCTGGATGGACCGGCTCAGCAGCCCCTAGTGGTGGACGCGTGGGTAGTTTCCAGTCTTTGCTGTTACCACCGACTCTCCCACTTCTGCCCTGAACCCCAGGCATGGGTTTGTAGGCAAAGGGCAAATGTGTCTGTAATTCTGTGCTCTTCCTTGGGGGGTGTAGCTCTCTACTGTTTGACTATTTGGAAAGATGCATTTATGTATTAGTTGTATATTAAAAGCAAGTGTCAAAATTACTCTATTTCGTGGGAGGTGGCACAGGATAGTGTTAAGAGCCTGGGGCTGGGTGATTCAGACCCACCGAGGGGGCTGTTCCTCCTCCCCACCAGCTGTTTAATCTTGGGCAAGTGACTTAACCATGCTGGTCTCAGTTTCCCCATCTGTATAATGGTTTGAAAATAATAACTGCCCTCCAGGATCTCTCGGGTGAGTCCAGAAGCTTCTGAACATAACAGGTTTCGGACAGTGCCTGCCACGCAGCTCGGCCCCCACGCAGGCAATATTTCCCATGTCTTTACATCCAAACTGTAGAATATTTTGCAACCATTACATAAATGGGGTCGAGCTCCGTCCGCTGGAAAGATGTCCTGATTATACTGTAGAGTGCAGAAACGAAAGCAGCTTGCAGAACCGGATATGTAGTGTGCTAACCTGTATGTCCCGAACAAATGATTAATAACAAGAACAATAACAATACTTGCTACAGTGAGAGAAAAGCAAAAACACCCATCTTACTGAAAAAAAATAGAATTAGGAAAATTGATGTTTCTTTTTTGTTTTTTTCTGAGGAAGATTCGCCCTGAGCTAACATCCGTGCCAATTTTCCTTTATTTTGTATGTGGGATGCCACCACAGCATAGCTTGATGAGCGGTGTGTAGGTCTGCGCCCAGGATCCAAACCCGGGCCCCGAAGCGGAGCATGCAAACTTACCCACTAGGCCACGGGGCCAGCCCCTATGTTTCTTTCAGGAATGTAAATCATGGTTTAATCAACAAATATTGCTTACTAGCTAGACTTGGAAGGCTAAGAAACTTCCTCAAGACAAATACTTGATTTACTTCCACTCAAGTCACTGTTCTCAAGTTCCAAAGAAAAAAAATGCCAGCATTTTCCTGGTGCTGATACACTTGAGTTACTTTACACCCATATAGACCCTTTTTATGATTCAGTCGTTTCGACTACCTTTGAAACAGTTAATTACATGTAAAAAACAGTACCTCTTGTGACAATGAATGGCGATTACGAAATCGTGTTAATTGCTACAAAGGATTCAGCAGCCTGTGCCCATGGCTTTCCTTTTGAAGGTGCACTATATTAAAAACCTTCAAAAGCTCCATTTCTCTGGGTGCTGGGAAGCTGAATGGTTCATGAGGTTGTCTTCCTGCAGTTGGGAAAATAAACAGTATTTCTGGTTTGTCTCCCTCTCAAACCCGGGGCAACAGCTCCGTGCGCGGACTTCTCTTGCCAGGATAGCTAACGTTTCTTAAACAGGCTTCTAAGTGCCAGGGACGGTTCTGGGCACTTACAGATCATTGACTCATTTGATCATCACAGTTTTGCCATCCAGCCCGCTTTACAGATGAGGCAGCTGAGGCCCAGAGAGATTAAAATCAGTGGCCCCGGGTCCCTCAGGTGGGAAGTGGGCTGGTCAGGCTCCCAAGCTGTGGTCCTGGGCCAGAAGAGATGTGTAAAGATGCGCCCAGCAGGGGTTGCCACCAGGGGGTTCGTTTTTCTCTATAGTCTTAGAGTTTGGAATTGCTAGCATCAGTAATGACTACTACCATAATGAAATGAATCTAAAACATGACCCCCCTCACCCCGAATGTTCTCTCACCCCAGCCCTGAGGAGGCTGGGCGGTACCTGGAAACCTACAAGGCCTATGAGCAGAAGCCTGCGGACCTCCTGATGGAGAAGCTGGAGCAGGATTTCGTCTCCCGGGTGAGGCCACCTTGCCTCCCTCTAGCTCCTTCCTGGGTGTTTGAGCCTCAGTTCTGATCTCAGGTCATACCTCTCCTCCCCAGTCCCACCCTCAGCTTCTAGTCTCCCCTCTCCCACCCAGAGAGCAGCTAGAGGGGTCTTCCTAAGCACAAACCTCATCCTGCCCTCTCCAGCTCAAAAGCCTCCCATGGCTCCCCAGTGCCCTCAGGGCAAGCCCGGCCTTCTCACCATGGTCTACAAGGCCCTGCCTATTTGGCCCTGCAGCCCGGTCCGCCCCCTGCCCGCACATCCTCTGTCACTTCTCCCAGGCTTACCTCGCTTCGCTAAATATGTGCCCACTGTTCCCTCTGTGATTACCTGCCTGACCCCATCTTTCCCATCTCAGCTCTGATGCCTCCTTCTCCGGGAAGCCCTCCCTGATCCCCAGGCCAGGTCAAGCGTCCCCGCTGGGCTCCCCCATCCCAGCCCTGCCTATCTGGGTCCCCACTGTCTGGAACTGATTTGTCTCCGGGACTGGACTGGGAGCCCCAGGACAGCAGGGTTGGGCTGTGTGGGTCCCCGCTCTGTCCTCAGCACCACCCAGCACTGTGGGTGCTCAGAGTATTTGGTGAGTGAATTGTTGAATCTGGGCTCCAATGATAGAGTAATGGTGGATGTTCACAGCCACTCGAGGTGGGTACCATTAGGACCCCTGTTTGCCTGAAAACAGAGGCCCAGAGAGGTCAGTGCCCTCGCCCAGGGTCCCACAGGGAGTAAGCAGTGGGGCCTGGTTTTGAACCCAGGGCCAACTCCAGAGCCACAGTCTTCCCCTGGGCAGAACCAGCTCAAGATAAATGGCATTTATCTTCTCATCACATGACTGACACCCTCTCAGCTAGCCGGGGATAACTCTGAGATGAACTTTTAATTAAAAAAAAAAACAGGCATTTATTGAGTGCCTCCTGCATGCAGGGCAGTTGGGGACACAGCAGTGACTCAGCGCTGTCCTCACAGGCTCAGTTGTGCTCTCTCCTTTTCTCTCCCAATGCATCTCTGCCTCCTCCTCTCCTTCCAGGTGACTGAATGTCTGACCACCGTGAAGTCAGTCAACAAAACGGACAGTCAGACCCTCCTGGCTACATTTGGGGTAAGGACCGATTCCCTTGTCCCAACAGGCATTTCTACCCCCTTGCCGTTTCAAGGAAGCCACCCCACCCATTTCCTTCCACCTCCCTGCCCCTGCCCCCATCCTTCCTGCTTCCCCTGCGCTCCCACAAGACTTCACCTCCTTCTGGGAATGTCTTAGACCTCTGATCAGCTGGCCCAGGGTAGAATTTTGTGCTCACCTCCCCTGACCCTTTGCTCCCACCTTTCTCAGTCTCTGGAACAGCTCATAGCTGCATCGCGGGAAGATCTCGCCTTGTGCCCGGGCCTGGGACCCCAGAAGGTAAGAGCTCTGGGAATGGGCTGGAGGGGTCGGGGGCAGGAGGGAGCCCCAGATAAACGGGACCTCAGATCCCAAAGTTCTAAGGTTTCAGAAGGCCCACAGTGCCTCTCCTACAGATGGGGGAAAACCGAGGCCCAGAGAGGGTGGGAACCAGCCCAGCCTCACACAGCCAGTCTGAGACAGAATCCAGATTAGGCTACTTCTCTCCTAGCCCCCAGAACCCCCTCTAAGCTGGGAGAAAAAGAACCAAAAGCCCACTCCGGATGTTTCAAACAAATGGCTTCTTTAATGACCGGCTCCTCATCTCCTGCTCCCTCCCACCCAGGCCCGGAGGCTGTTTGATGTCCTTCACGAGCCCTTCCTGAAAGTACCCCGATGACCGCAGATGCCAAGGAGGCCCTCAGTGTGATAATAAAGCATCTCCCAGTGCAGGCTCCCACTGGCGTGCTGGTGCGGTCGCCGGGAGGGGTTCTCTGCTCTCGCCGTCTGATGGCCCAGGTGGCCACCTTCAGCTCTTCATAGTTGCAGCCGTCAGATTCCCTGGAGGAGAGGACACAGGATCCTGCGGCAGATGCTTCTTCCTCTTCTTCTCCCGTCCTGTGGGAGCCCCCTCCCCAGACTCCGGATTCAGAGAGGGCTCTGACATCTCCTGGGATGCCGTCTCTGGCCCCCCGCTTTCCTGGCCCCGCTTCTTCCTCTTCTTGGTGGCTGTCGGATCTGCCCTGGCCTCAGGCTCACCCTCATCTGGCAGCTCAAGCTCTATCATCTCACCTTGCGGGTCCATCATCTCAGCCCCTGGCTCTGTCGCTCTGTGCCCTCTTTCTTTCTTCTTCTTTTTCTTCTTGGTAGATGCTAGAGCTGCCTGAGGCTCAACGCCGCCTGGCAGCTCGGGCTCCATCACCTCTTCCTGTGGCTCCATCACCTCTTCCTGTGGCTCTGTCATCTCTGTCCCTGGCTCCGTCATCACGTTTTGCCATTTTTCTTTTTTCCTCTTCTTTTTGGTGAATGCCAGAGCTGCCTCGGCCTGAGGCTCAACTTCACGTGGCGGTTCAGGCTCCATCATCTCGGGCTCTAGAGCCTCAGCCCCTGGCTCCATCATCTCTGTGTACCCCTTTTCTTTCTTCTTTTTCTTCGAGGACGGCAGTGGGATAGCTTCCTCCTGTGGCTCCATCTTCACCTGCAGGTGAGAGTCAACTGTCACCCCCTCCACTGGCTCCATCCCTTCTGTCCCTTTCCCCCTCTTCCTCTTCTTGGTGGGGGAGAGGACTGTCTCTTCCAGAGGCTCAGTTTTAACCATGAGTTCCAGTTCCCCTGTCTTGTCTTCTGGCTCCACCATTTCTGCCTCTTTGAGCTTCTTTTTCTTCTTCTTGATGGTGGATGGGAGCAGCACTCCCAGAGGTGCCGACATCTCAGTGGCGGGCTCTGTTGCCACGGGCTCCATCACCTCCAGTTCTGTCAGCTGCTGCGTTTTTTTCTTCTTCTTCCCCACATCTGTCTCCAGGGTCCCCAAAGCTGTGTCCACCTCCAGTGCCCCATGCCCATTCACTTCCTCCTGAGGAATGGAGGCCTCTGGCCTATGCCTCTTCTTTTTCCTCTTCCCCGAGGCCGGTGACCTCAGTGCCAAGGCTGACCCCGGCCCTGTGACTGGCCGGCTGCCTCCAAAGGCACAGAACCGAGGCCTCAGGCCAGGGGGGATCTGTGGTGGGGGGCTTGCTGGAATGGGCTGCAGGGGGGTCCCTGAAAGGGATTCTTGGGGACCCTCAAAGATGCTTAGCCTGCCCTGCAGGGCTGGGGCACAGGTGAGCCCCCCTCCTGCCTCCGCTGAGGGGGCCAGTAGGGTCGCTTCTCCAGCCTGGGGGCCGCTGCTGCTCAGGACCCGGTAGCGGTGCCGCTTGCCTGCCAACTTGCCCTTCACCAGCTGGGAGCCAGAAAGAGGCACGAGCCGCCCGTTGAGGCTGAAGGGAGAAAGGGAGAGAGCAGAAGCTTGGTCAGACTCTCTTGGTGGGAGAGAGAAAAGGAGCTGAGAAGCAGCATTTGTGGGTTCCTCAGGAAAGCCCCTCTAAGTGTCCCCCAACTTCAGCCACTGGGGTGGGGAGTATTCCGGGAAGGTGGCCTGGGACCACTCACCAGTCTGGGGCGAAGTCTACAGGGGCCTGGATGAGCCATAGCTCCGTATCTGGGCCGGTCAACGCCTCCAAGGAGAAACGCGTGGGCTCTGAGGCTGGGGGCGTCGCGGTAAAGTTGGGGGGACAAGAAAAACGGGCAGCACCTACAGAAGGGGAAACGGGGGTCTGTTGACAGCTTCCTGGCGGTCCAATCCTCTAGGGCGCCTATCGGTCCATTGGTCTCAACCTCTAGAGCGTCCCAGTCCCCTCACCTGGTCCCTCCTCTGTCCGGCTATTTCCCAGAGGCGCCCCTATCTCCACCGGTCCAACCCCTGGGGGCGCCCTTCTCTCCACCGGTAGCCCCCCCCAAGATACCCTCTCTTCGTCTGAACGTCTTCCCTCCGCAGGTCCTGTCTCCGGGGATGTTCCTTTTTCCGTCCGAACGCTCCCGAGCGCCCGTTTCTCCTCCCCCCAGCCAAATCTCTGCACCCCGTCGGCCCGCCCTGAAGCATCTCACCGCCGGATGGGGTCCCCGCCATCCCGGGACCCACGCTTCCCCAAGCCCTGGCGGCCGGAGCTACGCCGGCCCCGCCGCCGACCACGAGGAGCCAAAGGGGCGGGGTCTCATCCGGGAGCGCCCATGTGGCCCGGAGCGCGGGGGATGTCGCTCGGAGCCCGCTCGCTCTAGGAGCAGAATTGGGGGAAGTTTCCACTTGTGCAGAGCAGAAAACCGAGGAAGACGTCTTTTCCTAAAAATCTGCTCCAGGAAGCAGCTGATTCGCTGTTTGGCGGGAGTGAGAACCTGACCAGGTCCCGGCGGCTCTCCCCCCAGTTTCTCTGACATTATTTGCCCCAACGTCGCCTTAAAGGGGCAGCCACATTGATAGGCTCTAGCTCTTAAAGAGACAGGAAGATCGATTGAGCTGAAATTCTTAAAGAGACAGGTAAGAGGCTTGGTTGGTAGCGCTGTGCTTTCAGTGTTACAATCCTTTCTAGGGGGGGCCTAGATGCCTGGGAATTTCAGAATTTGAGTAGGAAAGGTGGGAAAATGGAGGAATGGGGGTCAGTCCGCTCGGGGGGCGGGGCTTCTGGACTGCAGGGGAGCGGGAAACATACGGGGAGGGGCCTGTGGGTCCCGGGGCGGAGCCTCCAGACTCCGGAGCTCGACACGCGTGGGGTGTGCGGGCTAAGCGGCGGGGCGTGTGGATCAAATGAGACGGGTAGATGCCCCCACGGATTTAGGCTCGTGCGTGGGGAACATTCCCGAACGCTTTGAGGAAGGGAGAGGGAGTGAAAGCCCTGAGCCGAGCCCCTTCCCTGCCCCCGGGCGCGTGTAAACAGCGGCACGTGGATGCGGATTTGGGGGACGCACCCACGCCCCTTTCCTGCGTGGGGCGGCGGGCGCAGCCGCGGGACGGCGGCTAGACAGGGTGACCCGACTGCATTCCAGGCCGGTGTGTCAGCGCCGCTTCCCGCCCCCTCTGCCGAGATTTCAGATCCTACTCCAGAATTGGGGCGCCCTCCTTCTCAGGGAGAGAGCGACTTCCCAGAGCGGAGAGAGGGCCAGGGGAGGGGGACGCGTTCCCTTCGCCCGGGATCGCCCAAAAGTTCCCGCGCGTGGGCGAGACACCCGGGCGCCGCCCCTGGGGGCTCCGGGACTACAATTCCCAGAGGATGCGAGGCGGGGAGGCCCCCGACATCCGTCGCGGAAGCTGCTGGGGATTGTAGTCCCCGTCTCCGATTTAGGGGGCTGTTGCTGGAAGTCCTGTAAAGATCCAACCTGCCCTTTTTACCAACGGGGAGATTGAGGCTCAGAGACCCGAGGGAACACTGATTTAGCAAGACCCTCTTCTCACCTTAGGGGCGGGGCATGTCGGTCTCCCCCAGTTTCCAACCTTCGACCCTTTTGGTGGCTTCCAAATCTTCATTCAAGAAGGGGGAAACTGAGCCTGGAGGGGTGGGGCAGGGACTCAGGGGTCCGTTTCCTGCAGCCACACGGAGGTGGGAGTCTGAACTCTTACCTAGATGGCCAGGTCACCCTCGGCTTCTGGACCTCGCCCTTCCTGTCTGTGAAATGGACTTCGGGTGAGTCCCAGTGGGAACGTCTCAGTCTGCGTCCTGCTCCTCCGGGACTACAAGTCCCAAGGTGCTCAAGGCGACCCCGACTCCCCGTCCCCTCCGGACCCGCCTCCCTCCAGCGGGAGTCACGTCGTCTAACCTGTTCCCGGCGCCTGCCCCGCCCCGTCCTCCGCTCCCGCAGCCAGAGCCGGAGCTGGAGGAAGCCCCCCGGTGCCAGGATCTGCCTCGGATCCGTGAGTTCCCCACCCTGGGGTCCAGCGGCTCTGGAGGAGCCGGACACCCGTGTCCCTGGGAGGACTGGGAGGGGACTCGGACGCCGGGTCCCAGGGTGGAATTGGGTGCGCAGTCTCCAGGGTGCTTGGAAGGTGAGAACTTGGATGTCTCATTTACTTGGCAGAAGGAAAGGGGCTCGGATGCCTGAGTTCTTGGAATGGAGGGCTCGGACGCCTTGGTCCCGGGGAAACGCTGGAGCTGGGACTCCTGAGTCTCTTGAATTTGGGGGATTCTCGGAAGCCTGAGTCCTTGAGTGGAATTTGGGTATCGGATCCCTGAGTCTCCTACAGAAATGGGAGGCTCGGACTGGTAGGGGTCTGGAATGGGCGGCCACCTCTGCCACCACCATCGAGCTGCCTTCTTGACCGAGCCTCTAGGTCTCCGAGAAGAATTAGGGGTGGTGTGGGGATAGTGGAACCCGGGTCCCTGAAATGGAGCAGGACAAGCCGCTGGGGTCCCTCTGGAGGCTGTGTCCCGGCGCTCCCCCTGCTTTCCGGCCCTTCCCCTCCAGCAAGGGAGGGGAACCGGGGCAGCTCTCCAACATCCTCTGCCGCTGCGCGATCCCCAACATGTCATTAACCGGGGCGTCAGACCTGCCTAACCAGAGGAGGGACCTCCGCCCCAGGGCGCCCCCTGGCGGAGGCGGGGGGCCCTCGGATTGTCCCTTGGAGGTGGGAAATATTTGGGGTTTACAGAGGGCATACTGGAACCCAGGGGAGAATTCCAGAAGGTGGGGTTGCATTCTGGGAGGCTTGCATGGCTGGGCACTAGACAGCCATTACACAGAGAAGAAGAGGGTAAATAGCCTTAGAGGTCACACAGGCAGCAGAGTTGGGGTCAGGATCTGGCCTCCCCTTTCCTCTGCAGCTCTCTGGGGGACTGGATTCCATCCACTCCCACCAGATTTTCTGACTCACCTCCCTCCCAGGGCTCCTCGCCCTGACCCTGAGGTGAGAAATGTCACCTCCACCCCCATCTGTCTGACCTGAGGTGGTGGGAGATAAGGGAGGCACAGACGCTAATTCTGGAGGTGTGTCTGTCCTTGAAGCTGGGGGAGGGCAGGGCCTGGCACCTCCCTCTGTCTGTCTCCCCCTTCTCTCCACCCCCATGTGTCATGTGAGGGGGTTAAACAAGGGGGGGGTCAGGGGGTTCTGATGAGAGAGGGAAGAACTTCTAATGTCTGGGCTTGAAGGGCATTGGATGAGAGCCTGAGATGAAATTAAAAATAATAACCGTGGCTGCCAAGACAGAACTCACAGCTTGCCAGGCTCAGGGCTGGCAGGTACATGGGATGGTTCCATTGTCTACATAAGTTTCAGGCAACCGCCCAAAAGTGTCACTTGCAATGAGGTTTGGTGACCCCACCCCATGGAATGACTTCTCTCTACTCCAGTGGGGAAACTGAGGCAGGAGAGCAGGCACAGCCCACTCTCTTGGCTTTTCCCACCTTCTGTCTGGAATCTTCCGGGTCTCCCCATGCCCCCGTGCTTAAAATATTAGGGATGACCACTGCCCAGAACTCGGGAATGTGCCAGGAGAATTTAGGGCTCAAGAAGTTGAGATTCCAGAGGTCAAAACTCAGGGCTTTTCGAATCTCAGAAAGAGCTGAAAAGACCCTTTTGGTGGAAAAAAATTACTTTGGGTCTTGAGCCCTCAGTCTGTGTCAGACCCTGTGTTATCTTAATGAACAGCCGAGGAAGGCCAGAAATTGAGAATCCTATAGGTGTGAACTTGATTTCACACCCTGCACTGTTCTAAACACTGACATAAATTATGTCACTCAAACCTCATACTCCTTTGAGGTGAAGGTGTTAATTCTTCCATTACACACACGAGGAAACTGAGGTACAGAGAAGCTAAATAAACTAGCCCATTCCACAGACGTCCACGAGGGGAAACCAAGTCCCAGAAAGGGTGGGGTCTCTCCCCGTGTCAGTCTGTAGGAACAGAGCTGTCCGATTCCAACCTGGGTATTCCCAGCCCAGCCTGGCGCTCTGACCTGTTCCTACTGAGGATGATTCCTCCAGGAAGCCCCCCACCCCGCTCCGGGATTCTTAATGCCGAAGAACCTGGCTGGGGTGCAGAGGAAGCCTGGGAAGGAGATCTAGGAGTGGAGGGAAGGAGGGAGCGGAGGCTGAGGTTGGAGCGGAGCCGGGCGAGGAGGACTTGGGGGTGGAGGCCAGGGACCAGGGAGCAGAGGCGCGGCCCGCGCCGCCCCCGCGCCCCACCCGGCCCCCGCTCGCCTGCCGCGGGGGGTGCGGCACCTGCCCAGGCCCGCCGCGCATTCCCAGGGTCTGAGCTCAGGCGCTGTCCGCCCGCCGGGCTGGGGTCGGGCCTTGAACCGGAGCGCCCCCTGGCGGCCCAGACACCCCCTCCGCCGGCGCCAGCCCGGGGCCGGCCCCACGCCCAGGCTTGGCATTTCCTTTGGAGCCAGGGGATGTCAGCGTGGGATCTGAGAGTCTTAGAGTTGGGGAATCGTGAAATCCCCCAAATCGCTGTCAGAATGTTGGCACTGGACGCTGCATGGAATTGTTCCTTTTTATATTTTAACAGACACTTACAGAGTGTTTCCTGTGTGTCTCTGAGATTCTGAAAGCCGAGTTTTGATTCCTGTACTCCCTACTTTCTGAGGACTCAGTTCTCAGAGCTTTAATTCTCTAGCACTTTCTGGCCAGTTGGGTTCTCACAAGAGTCCTCTAAGGTGGAGCGCTATATATCCCCATTTTACAGATCAAGAGGCACTCTTGTCAGGGCTGGAGAGTGGTGCCCCCAGATCTGAACCCTGGAAGTCTGCCTTCCTCCGGGCTTTCTCCTGCTCTGAACCATTCCATTATACCCTGCATTCACCTAGACTTTTTTTTTTTTTTGATGAGGACGATTCGCTCTGAGCTAACATCTGTTGCCAATCTTCCTCTTTCTTTGCTTGAGGAAGATTCGCCCTGAGCTAACACCTGTGCCAATCTTCCTCTATTTTGTATGTGGGATGCTGCCACAGCATAGCTTGATGAGTGGTGTAGGTCCACGCCTGGGATCTGAACCTGAGAATACGGGCCACTGAAGCAGAGTGTGTGAACTTAACCACTATGCCACGGGGATGGCCCCTACCTAGACTTTTAGGACAGTGGAATCCTGGGGTAGATAGAATGTGGTGCAGGAAGACAGAGAAATCTAGGCTAGCCAAATTGCAGAGTTCTAGAATGTTCTAAAGATAGAGTCTTGGACCAGTACTTTCGAACAATAGATTCTCAAGCTGAGGGTTTTAGGCTCTGTAGAACTTTAATAACAGTCTCAAGATCCTTACAATTTCAGAATCCAGGCCTCTGAGAGATTGAAGAGGCCTCTCAGAATAGCTGATCTGCCTCCTCCTCTCACTCTTGGGGAAACTGAGGCCCGAGGAGTGGAGGAGACTCATCCCCCAAGGTCACACACTCCCAACACACCCAGATGAGCCACCAGCCCCAACAGGTTCTGTTTGGAGGCTTCCCAGACAGAGGCTGGAATCAGCATGCTCCAGCCCGCCCCGTAGCCCACGCCTGTACCACCAAGCCAAAGCTAAGAGGTCGGCACAGCCAGGAGGTGGCAGAGCTGGTGGGCGTGGTGGCTTCCATGGGATGAGGATGGTGCCGGCCTGACCGGTTCCTGGTGGCCTGGCTCCCTCCCACTGCACCGGTCACCACAGCGGCCAGCCACCCCAGCCACCTCCCTGTTGTTCGTATTAACACTGGGTCTGTGCGAACCAGGGCTTATCTGGGTGGAGACTCCGGGGAGAGGGAACTGAGGGGTCCCTGCCCTCTGAGACCCTCCAGTCTGGTGGAGATGACCCAGAATGACAAGTCAGATCCGGGGTGAAACCTAGTACACTGACTTCTTGCAGGGTGACTTTGAACAGATGCTCTGAGCCCCCGTTTCTTGCCTGCTCTGGTGGTTTTGACCTTGGAATGAAGTATCTGGTGTACAATTCTAGGAGGCAGTGGCCCCTCAATAAATGGTGGTGGGTTTTGTGTGTGTGTGTGTGTGTGTGTGTGTGTGTGTGTGTGTGTGTGTGTGTGAGGGGCCCTGAGCTAACATCCATGCCAATCCTCCTCTTTTTTTTTTGCTGAGGAAGACCGGCTTTGAGCTAACATCTATTGCCAATCCTCCTCCTTTTTTCCCCCAAAGCCCCAGTAGATAGTTGTATGTCATAGCTGCACATCCTTCTAGTTGCTGTATGTGGGACGCGGCCTCAGCGTGGGCGGAGAAGCAGTGCGTCGGTGCGCGCCCGGGATCCGAACCCTGGCCGCCGGTAGCGGAGCGCGCGCACTTAACCGCTAAGCCACGGGGCGGCCCAGTGGTGGTGGTTTTATTTCATTAGACCCTCAAGCAAACAGCACAGGTCCTGGCACACCGTAGGCAGCACAATTATTATTTTAACAAATATCCCCAGCATCTAACACAGTGCCCCCTGATCCGTAGTAGGCATGCAGTCCTTGATTGTTATTTTTATTGCATCTGCTGTCCACTCTAATGCCTGGCACATAGTAGTTGATCAGTGGATATTTGCTGAAGGAATGATTCAACAATTAGGGCTGAGATAGAGATATGGACAAGAAGCCACGTAAAGAGAGTGAATTGTCCAGAGCCTTCCAGGAGGGCTTTGAAGGAGTTGGCGTTTCCCAGCCCGGAAAGCGGAGGAGCATAGCGCTTTCAGTGGAAGGAACTAGAAAAGTAAAAGCGCTGTCCCGCTCCTCGCCGCCCTGGGTCTGCGGGCGGGGCCTGGAGGGGCGCCATCTAAGAAGGTTCTCCCCCGCAACGCAGGCGCCCCGCTCCGGCCGGCACCATGGACAGCGAGGCGTTCCAGAGCGCGCGGGACCTCCTGGACATGAACTTCCAGTGTGAGCTGGGGTAGGGGGCGGGGCTTGGCGGGGCGGGGCTTGAGGGGGCAGAGGCGGGGTCCTGCCAGGAGGGCCGGGTCCTTACCGCCACTCCCGCCCGCCCAGCTCTGGCCATGAAGCACATGGATCTGAAACAGATGGAGCTGGACTCCGCGGCTGCCAAGGTGGACGAACTGACCAAGCAGTTGGAGTCGCTGTGGTCAGACTCGCCAGCGCCCCCTGGCTCGCGGGCCGGAGCCCCCCCTAGGGTGAGCCTGCTGGTCACCCCTCTGTCCCCAGCTTCTCTACTGCTGGAGTTCAGGCAGAGCTGCCCCATAGAGGTGTGCAGGTTGTAGGCTATTTAAGGGCACTCGAAAGAGGGGACCAGTGGAAGTGGACATCTAACAGGACCCTTGGAAGGAAAGGGGCCTTTTTCTAAGCAGCGCAAAGGCACTGGATGGGCTCGCCTCAGCCCTGATTTCAGGGTTCTCTCCCCAACACCCCTCACCTGGGCTCCCTGTGCCTGAATCTCCCAGTCCAACTCCCCTGAGTTGATTTTTGATGACTTCTTTTGACCTCCTGCCAACGCCTCTACTAATGTCTGCTTTGACCTCTCAACGTCCAGGCCTCCCCAAAGCTGTCCCGGTACAGCTCCAGCTCTAGCCCGGTCCTCGAGCCCTTCGGCAGCCGCGGGTCCCCCCGAAAGGCGGCCACCGACGGCGCGGACACCTCGTTCAGTCGCTCCGAGAGCGCCCCGACTCTGCACTCCTACAGCCCGCTGTCCCCTAAGGGCCGGCCGTCGTCGCCGCGCACCCCGCTCTACCTGCAGCCGGATGCCTACGGCACCCTGGACCGCGCGCCCTCGCCCCGGCCCCGCGCCTTCGAGGGCGCAGGCAGCTCCCTCGGCCGTGCGCCCTCCCCGCGGCCCGGCCCCGGCCCGCTGCGCCAGCAGGGTGCCCCCACGCCCTTCGACTTCCTGGGCCGCGCCGGCTCCCCCCGTGGCAGCCCCCTGGCCGAGGGGCCCCAGGCCTTCTTCCCCGAGCGCGGGCCCTCGCCGCGCTCCCCAGCCTCGGTCTACGACGGGCCGGCTGGCTTTGGGAGCCCCCTGCTGGGCGCGGGCGGCAGCGCCTTCGCCCCGCCTCTGCGCGCGCAAGGTGAACGCAGGGGCCGAACTCGGGGGGTGGAAGGGGTGCGGGGCCCGGGACCAGCCTTCCCCCATATCCCCATTCGCCACCTCTCCGCAGACGACCTGACGCTGCGCCGGCGGCCCCCCAAAGCCTGGAATGAGTCTGACCTGGACGTGGCTTATGAAAAGAAGTCTTCGCAGACAGGAGGCTATGACCGTGAGTGGTGGGAAGCCGGGGAGTGGGGGAGTCGGAGGAAAGGCGCCCCCAGACCCTAATGATCCCCCCTTCGCAGGCTTGGAGGTCTTTGCGCGGCCCTCCTCGCCGGGCCCGCAGCTGTTACCCTGGAGAGAAAGCAGCCTGGATGGGCTGGGGGCCTCCAGCAAGGTGAGGGGCGGCTGGGGAGGGGCTGATGGGTAAGGGCGGGGAGCGGGGTCAGGGCTAGTCTCTCCCTCCTGGCTTTGCCCTCGGTTTCCGTGCCCTTCCCCACGCTCTTCCTTCTTTATCCTAGATTTCCACCCCCTCCCTGACCCTCTTCCCTCATCTCCTGCTCTCCCTTCTCACCTTTTGCCCTTCCCTCCCTCCCCCTTCCCTCCCCCTCCTGACTGTTCCCTTACCCCTATCTTCCTCCCTTCTGAGCCCCTTCTTCCGTCCCTCCTTCCCTCTTTCTCTCCCAGGACAACCTCACCAGCGCCACCCTGCCCCGCAATTACAAGGTCTCCCCTCTGGCCAGCGACAGGCGTTCTGATGTGGGCAGCTACCGCCGATCGCTGGGCTCCGCGGGGCCATCGGGCACTTTGCCTCGCAGCTGGCAGCCTGTCAGCCGCATCCCCATGCCTCCTTCCAGCCCCCAGCCCCGCGCTGCCCCCCGCCAGCGCCCCATCCCCCTCAGCATGATATTCAAGCTGCAGAACGCCTTCTGGGAGCAGGGGGCCAGCAGGGCCATGCTCCCTGGCTCCCCCATCTTCTCCAGAGCTCCTCCGCCTAAGCTGCCTCCACAGCCCCAGGCGCCCCCCCAGCCCCAGGTGCCCCCACACTCCCAGCCCCAACCACAACCTCAGGCCCAGCCTCAAGCCGCTGCCCCAGCCCCCCAAACCCCCCAACACACTTGGCCCCCTGTGAGCGAAGGTGAGTCAGCAATGGGGGTCCCTGGGGGCTTGGTGAAGGGAGGACGAATGGGGGGAGGACCAGACAAGCTGGAGAAGCCATCACAGCCAAACCCCTGTTTCCAGACACTGTCCCTGCAGAGAGCTGGGCCACGTAAGCTTGGGAATTTGCTCAGGAGCTAGGGATAGCACAGTGGTTAAGCATGGACCTGAAGTCCGACTGCCTGGCTCCATGCTGTGTGACCTTGGGCAAGTCACCTAACCTCTCTGGACCTCAGTTTCCTTGAGTGTAAAAGATGATTAATGATAGAACCTATCTTACTGGGATATGGCATTAGATTATTTAATCCATATACAGTCCTTAAAATAAGGCCTGATGTATAGTAAGTTCTCAGTAGCTATCATATTAGTTATAATAATTATTAATATTTTTTGGTGTGAGACCAGTGCAAGGCCTGGAGTTAAGCAGAGTGGGTTTTGAGCCCCTCTCCACCACTGACTTGCTGTGTAACTCAGGATAAATTAATGAACCTCTCTGAGCTTCCATTTTCTCATCTGCGAAGAGAGATTAATAATATCTACCTCGTAGATTGTGATGGGCATTCAATGAAATAATGTATAGAGAGTGATTGTTATTATTTCTACCTGCCTTAGAGGCTCTGATAGAGAGAAACAAGATAGAAGAGACCATCAAGCAGCAGGATTCTGGTCCCAGCAGGAGTTTTCTGCCTGAAATGTTAGGAGAGGAAGTTCTTAGAATCTTAGAAAGTCAAGTCTGTCATAATGGTAGGAGCACAGATTTTGGAGTTAGATAGAACTGAGTTCAGATCCCAGCTGTGTGGCTTTGGGCAACTGACTCGCCCTCTCTGAGACACAGTTTCCTTTCTGTAATAAGGAAATGATATCCACCTCTTCCTCACAAGGCGTGGTGAGAATTCAGTAAGACAGGCGCAAAAGTGCCACGTACATGCAAAGTGCTTGACTCATGGGAGACCTCATCACTGTATAGTATTCACAGCCCAGGAAATGTGCTGTGTAGCCCAGAGAGAGCAAGGAACTGCCCTGAGGTCACACAGCAAATCAGTTGCTGGTTGCAGGTCCTGGAAGTTGTGGGGAGGGTGTCTTGGGGGTCTCCTGGGGAGTCCTCCTCTGATGGGGCTCTTGTTCTTTCTAGGCACCCCCAAACCACCCGCTGAGCTGGAGCCTGAGCCAGAGCTGGAGGGGCTGCTGACGCCAGGGCTAGAGGCTGGTGATGCAGATGAAGGTGCTGTAACTCGGCCCCTCAGCCCCACGCGGCTGCAGCCAGCGCTGCCTCCTGAGGCACAGTCAGTGCCCGAGCTGGAGGAGGTGGCCAGGGTGCTGGCAGAGATTCCACGGCCCCTCAAACGCAGGGGCTCCATGGAGCAGAGCCCTGCTGTAGCCCTGCCCCCCACCCACAAGAAGCAGTACCAGCAGATCATTAACCGCCTCTTCCATCGTCATGGCGGGCCTGGAGGGCCTGAGCCCGAGCTGTCCTCCATCACTGAGGGATCTGAGGCCAGGGCGGGGCCCCCTGCTCCTGCCCCACCAGTTCCCATACCGCCCCCAGCTGCACCCCAGAGCAGCCCACCAGAGCAGCCACAGAGCATGGTAAGTAATATGGGAGGAAACTAGGTTATTAGTTAGCATATGGGAGTGCCCCTTCCCTTTTAGGAAAGCTGGAAATTGCATGCATCACATCTGCCTCATCCCATTGGCCAGGAACCCAGCCACAAGGGAGCCTGGGAAATGTAGTCTTTGGGTGTGCCTGTGTTCAAAAGAAAGGGAGAGTATATATGGAGGGGCATCCATAAGTCTTGGCGGCACAGAGACTTTCTCTGCTCCACCCCAATAACTTGCCCCCCAGGGCATCCCCTCAGGAATCTTGATGTCTTACAACCTGGAAGTGACTGCGTCTTGGCACGATGGTGGGTTTATTCTGGGACCTGAAAAATCTGCCTGAATCAAGGCAGTCACCATTTCTCTCCCAGGTTGTCACAGTCTCTCCTGTCTGTCTTCTCTGGGGATCTGCTCTCTCCTCTTATATCTCAGCAAGCCTGAACCATGGCTAGAAATGGCCCACCCTGCCCTGACTCAAAATGACCTCTGAGTTCAAGTCCACGGTATCCTCTGACTCCACTCAGAGCTGCTTCCTTTCAAATTTTCAAGAGCGAGTCTCTGGTCTCTGAGGCTGAGGGTGTCATGGTTAAATGCACCAGCTGCAGACCTAGGTTGCCTGGTTTGAATCCCAGCTCCGTGGCACTTAGCTGTGCAACCTTAGGCAGGATACTTACCCTCTCTGGGCCTCAGTTTCCTCATCTGTAAAATGGGGATGAGAATAACCATAGGGTTGCTATAGGATTAATATATTAATATAGTGCTTAAAATAGTGCCTGGCACTTAGCTGTTGACTATAATTATCGTTGTTTTCGTTTGACCAGGAGATGGTCTCCTGCCGACCTTGGTCCACTCTCTGCATTTTGGCTGGGGGTGGGGAGTGTAGTCACATGGAACAGTCCTGATCACTCAGTGTGGGTAAACAGAGGGAGGGGAAGAATTCCCAGAGAGGAATTGGGGGCCAGGTAGACACCCCAAAATGCCTATTCCCAGGCCCTCCTGAGGGTGGAGCCAAGAAATATTGATGCTCAGGATCTTGAAATCAAGAACGGAAGAATGACAACATCTTGAAATGATCAAGTTCCCTCACTGTAGAATCACAAAGTCCCAGCTACAGAGAAACTTGAAAAATTACAGAATTCAAAAATTCAATCCTGGTATCACAATCTCAGAACAGTGAAATTTCAGAATCCTAGAGCCCTGGAGGTTTGAAGAGCAGGATCTTAGAATTAAAAAGTTAGTAACACAGACCCTGGTTATCACTGATACTTGAAGTCATTACAACTGAAATTCAAGACCCTTATCACCTGAATCATAAAATCACAGATTAGTGCACTAATATGTTGTAATACAGAATTGTATTTTCAATGAACATTCTCCACTAGAAAGGAATACACAAAGACCATAGAAACTAGGAGGAAACAGATCAAAGTGGAATCAAGAGACCAAAATCACAGCACTCAGAGAGAACCATGATTAACATTTTCAGTATTTCCTTCCAATCTTTTGGAATGAAATTCTAACCATAAAATATTAAAGTTTTCAACCACAGAATCTTGGGAAGGCAACGTCCTGGGTCCTCAGCAATTCAAAATGGCACAACTTAGCATTTCTGGACTCACAGTATTGGAAACATGAAATAACTGAGCATCAGAGATTTTAGAAATTCTTGGGATCTCTGAATTCTAGAATCTTGAAATCATTGACAGCAAAGACCAAAATCACAAAATGCATGCTCAGAATAAATTGAATCTTGCAGGAGGACTATTGAAAATCAAAAATAAGAAAGCACAAGGAGTAATATGGTAAATATTGCAATTCCAAACATTTGGAATTAACACTTGGTAACCTTTTGTCATGTGTGTTTCACAGCATTTATTTTTTATGAAAGAAATGAGACTATGTATGGATTGAATTCCACAATCATCAACTTGATGGTCTTCCAGCTTCTCATGTCTCAGGGAGCAAGATTCCAAAATCACCAGATGCCCTGACTGTTGTAGGGAACTGGAGGCTGTGGAACCGAGGCATCCCCTCCCCACAGGGCTCTGGACTCAGGCTCTGTATCTCCCTGGGTTCCATCCCAGCCTTCTCCTGTCTAGTTGGATGAAGTGGGGCGGCTGCCGCCTGGTCCCTGAACCTCTGTTTCCCCCTCTGAGTAATGGGGGAATTAACAATCCCTCCAAGTCACTGAAGCGCCCCCTCCTGTCCCTCAGGAGATGCGCTCTGTGCTGCGGAAGGTGGGCTCCCCGCGCAAGGCCCGCCGCGCGCGCCTCAACCCACTTGTGCTGCTGCTGGACGCGGCGCTGACCGGGGAGCTGGACGTGGTGCAGCAGGCGGTGAAGGAGGTGAGTGATGCCAAAGAGCGGACTGGTGGGCTGGGGGCGGAGAACGCGGGATGGCAGCCGCGGGACTGAGCCTCCTGGTCCCCCGCCCGCCCAGATGAACGACCCGAGCCAGCCCAACGAGGAGGGCATCACCGCCCTGCACAACGCCATCTGCGGCGCCAACTACCCCATCGTGGACTTCCTCATCGCCGCCGGCGCCAACGTCAACTCCCCCGACAGCCACGGCTGGTGAGCCCTGACCCGCGGGGGCGGGCGCGCGCGGCGGGCCGGGGCACCCGCGGGGGGACGCGCGGCCTCTCACGCACGCCTCCCACGCCCAGGACACCGTTGCACTGCGCGGCGTCGTGCAACGACACGGCCATCTGCACGGCGCTGGTGCAGCACGGCGCGGCAATCTTCGCCACCACCATCAGCGACGGCGCCACCGCCATCGAGAAGTGCGACCCCTACCGCGAGGGTTACGCTGACTGCGCCACTTACCTGGCAGGTGCGAGGCAGGACTGGGGCACGCCGGCGGGTGGGCTGGGCCTTCTGGGGGAGGAGGTCGTGGGGGCCGAGCCCCCCAGCTGGCAAGTGTTGGGGTGAGGGGCAGCAGACTGCCACTCAAGAAAGAGAGGATGTGGGGGCTGTGCCAACCATGTGGCAGCATCGCAGAGAAGGGGGCTGCAGGATGGGGCACCTGCCAGGTAAGGAGATTGGACCTCCCACCTGGCAGGTGCAAGCAGGGTGTGTGGGGGGAGCAGACTGTGCCACCTCGAGGGAGAGGGGGACGGGGGGCTGTACCGTGCAAACTGGACACCTGGGGGAGAAGAGTGGCTGTGGAGATTACGCGACGCTCAACTGCTTTCTCACCTGGGGGGTGGAGAGTTGGACGTTAACAACTATACCTTCTACCTGGCATAGGGCAGGGCAGGTGGGCTGTGCTACTGTGGGAGATACAGTACCACACAGCCGGCAGGTGAGCAGGCCATGGCTTATGGGGAGGGGCCTGGGGACTCTTCCACCTTTGGGGACGACGATTGCGCCATCACACCTTTGTCACAGGTAGGTGGAGCCTGGGAGATGTGAGGATTTTACTGTCCTGCCTGCCTCGGACGTGGGAAGTTCTGTGAGAGTGAAGTAGAGATTGGACAGCGCGCCTGGCGGGGAGGGGAGGAGAAACTGGATCCCGGTGGACTGAACCACTAGAGAGGGGGAGCACGGTGGACTACCCCATCTGGGAAGGGGGCTAAATCCGTGATGGAACTTTTACCACTTAAGGGGTGGGGGGAAGGTTTGGGTGAGCTGTACCTTCTGGAGAAGTTATTACTTCGTCTTTAGAGACTTTGCACTTGGGGAGGGGAAGTCGTGTGGACTGCACCATCCGGAAAGGAGAAGATGGGACCACTTAGGGGGAAGAGGAGTAGGGCTGTACCATCTGAAGGAGGGGTTGAGGCCTCTATAGAGACTGTACCACCTAAGGGGGGTGCAGACGACTGTACCTCTGGGAGTGACACTGGGACTTAACAATGTACAAGAGGGAATGGGGACCACTGACCCTGCCTCGGAGGGTGGTGGCCCAGCTTGATGCACCCCAGTGTTCTCGAATTTTAGAGACTGCCAGCCCCGGCAGCTGACTCCAGCTCAGGCGCCCCTCTCCAGACAGGGGTACACAGCTTTTCAGGTGGCTCATCCCCCAGCTGGGGCAGGCACCAGGTCCCAAGGCCTGTCCCTGTCCCCAGCGTGTCTGGTGCCCCTGAGTGTTCCGGCCTCCCTTGACCGGGCGCTCACGATCCCTGCCGTTTCGTGTTTCAGACGTGGAGCAGAGCATGGGGCTGATGCACAACGGGGTGGTGTACGCCCTCTGGGACTACAGCGCCGAGTTCGGCGACGAGCTGTCCTTCCGCGAGGGCGAGTCGGTCACCGTGCTGCGGAGGGACGGGCCGGAGGAGACGGACTGGTGGTGGGCCGCGCTGCACGGCCAGGAGGGCTACGTGCCCCGTAACTACTTCGGGGTGAGCCCAGAAACATCGTGCGGGCCTCCTGATGGCCTTTTGGGGAAAGGGGTGATGTCACAAGAATAAGAGGGAGAGAGAGGGACAGTCCATTACATTGGGGGGGATCAGAAGAGTCCATTATTGGTCGTGGGGAGGTGAGGAAAAAGCCCATTATAGTTATGGGGGGAGATGAGGAACAGTTGACTGGTTCATACTCAAGTATTTTTATTATCATCCCTTAATGTATTACTGGGGAGGTAAAAAATAATGTATTTTAGCCCGGGGGAGCAATGAGGGATCCCATTTGAGTGATGAGGAGAAAGTTACTTGTATATTACAGGCATGGTGGTGAGGAAGCTTTTGTGACACAGCATCGGGCAGGATGAGAAAGAATCCATTAATAAAATTATGGTAGAATGGAGAGAGATTCTACTAGGTTAGGGGAGGAGACCAGGAAGATCCCATTATATTCCTAGGAGAGAAGAAGATTCTTGTAATTCGGGGTGGGTGGAGGTGGGTCCCAACCAGACAGCCATGGTGGTAGGGAGAGGCAAGTGTCTCCTTTACGGCAGTGTGGGAGACTCAGAATATTCCATTTCACCAGCCGGGCTTCTAATTGGAAGGCTCCATCTGGTGCTTGGAGGTGATGGGACTCGGGGATTCTGGAGTGGTTTGGGAGATGCTAGGAGAGTCCATTAGGAAGGGATGGGCGGATGGAGGCAGTCCCCGGGTCTGGGGGTGGATTAGGTGACTCCATTAAATTTAGGAGTAGATTAAGGGGACACACGCTCCTGGTGTCTGAAGCCCCTGTCTTGCCTCAGCTCTTCCCCAGGGTGAAGCCTCAGAAGAATAAGGTCTAGCAGGAGAGAAGGATGTTTCCAAGCGAGACGGGAGGCCACAGCCTGCCTTCGCTCCAGACGTCCCTCTCCGTTACTGCTGCGTCTCCCTGCTGCCCCAAGACCTGCAGGGGTGGGGTCCTCGCCACCAGCTCTCTGCCTCCCTGGAAGCCCCGGCGAGAAGGAGAACCCCAGCCTTAAGTTTAGAAACCTGCCTGAGCCATGGGAGGTGGTGGTGGGGCTGGGAGTCATGGGGGGCAAGAGACACCTCCACCCACTTGCCAAATCACATCCCGTCCAAAGTGCCACCCACTCCTACTGCCAACCCCGCCGTTTCCCCTCAAAGCAAGCCCACCCACCATCCCAGCGGAGCCTGGGATGGGTCACCTCTCCTGGGTTTCCCCGGGAGTCACCTCCGCCCCCGTCTCTCCCAGCAGCCTCCGGGGCTGGATGAGGCACACTGCTCTCTATCAGGCTCCCTGCCCCACCTCTCCCCAGTCAAGTGCCTTCACACAGCGCTGGGTTTATAACAAAATGGGGACGTTTTTCTTTATAAATAAAGGTAGTTTGCACAGAAATTGACTTCTTCCTCTTTGGATTCCTTTTGACTTAATAAGTGCTCACCATTATTACTATTTTTGGCAAACCAGTCTTAAAAAGCCTCTTTCTAAAGGGTTTCCCTCATGTAAATCCATCCTTCCTCTTTCAAATACATCTGCTCTTTTTTTTTTTTTTTTTTTTTTTTGTAGTGTCTTGATCTTTTTTCATGTCTTGGGTTCATTTTAAGGATAGTCATTTTGGGGCCGGCTTGGTGGCGTAGCTGTTAAGTGCCAGCGCTCTGCTGTGGCAGCCTGGGGTTCGCAGGTTCGGATCCTGGGTGCACACTGACACACCGCTTGTCAAGCCGTGCTGTGGCGGCGTCCCGTATAACGTAGAGGAAGAAAGGCACGGATGTTAGCCCAGGGCTAATCTTCCTCACAAAAAAATAAAATAAAATAAAATAATAAAGTTTAAAAAAAAAGCATAGTCATTTTATAGTATATGTCTGATAATCCGATCATCTGAAGTTTGGGGCCATCTACTCCTGCGGTTTGTTGTGTCTGCTGGTTCTCACTCGTGGTGGATTGTTCCCTCATGGGTGTTGAAATTACAGACTGTGGGATCATCTTCAACAGAGCTTTATCTGCTGGGAGTCCATGTGGCCTTGTTGAGGGTACGACCCTGAAGAGTGATTTTCCTTTGCCTCTGCCCCTCTTTATTTCATAAACTGCTCCTTGAAGATTTTTGACACAGCATATGTTTCTTCTAAGTATTTTTCGACAAGTCGTAAAGCTACAGCGTTGTTGTCGTCTGCAATGTCCAGTACAACTGCCACCGACCTCATGTGACTATTTAAACTTAAATTTATTAAGGAAAATTAAATAAAAATTAAGGATTCAGTTCCTCAGTCACACTAACCACTTTTCAAGTGCTCAGTGGCCACATGTGGCTAGCGGCTACCCTTTTTGGATAGTGCAGATAGGGAAGATTTGCATCATGCCAGAAAGTTCTATTGGATAGAGCTAATATACCACATTTCCGTCATCCAGAAGCTCCCTCGCTGTGCCTCTTCCCAGTCAATGCAAGTGTCCCCCTCCCTGTAAGGGGTAACCACAGTTCTGACTTCCATCATGTCAACTGGTTTTCATGAAGATACTTTAAAAATCAACCATTACTTACATAGTTATAGTGAGAAAAAGCAGTCACCTCTCCCCACTCTCCTGTCTGCTCTCGAGAGGCCACCTCTTTCAACTGCTTTAGCTATTTCTTCTGATATTTTCTTCCATGTTTCTAAGTAATATATTGACATTGCTATGTCATGTTTTGTTTAAATTATTTTATTGAGGTCATAATAGTTTATAACATTGTGTGATTTCAGGTGTACGTTACTATATTTCAGTTTATGTATAGACTGTATCATGCTTACCGCCAATAGTCTAGTTTTTATCCGTCACCGTACGTGTGTGCTCCTTTACCTCCTCCACACGCCACCCTAACCCCCTTCCCCTCTGGTAACCACTAATCTGTTCTCCTTATCCGTGTGTTTATCTTCCACATAGGAATGAAATCACACAGTGCTTGTCTTTCTCTGTCTGGCTTATTTTGCTTAACACAATACCCTCAAGGCCTATCTAGGTTGTTGCAAATGACACGATTTTGTCTTTTTTATGGCTGAGTAGTATTCCATTGTATATATATACACCAACTTCTGTATCCCTTCATCAGTTGATGGGACATTGCTGTTTCTTGATTTATCAGTTGTAGACATTTTCTACTGACTCCCTGGTACAGTACATGATGCTCGAGCTCTGTTAGGCTAATCCCACTTCACCCTCCCCAACAAAATCATATCAAAATTTTATACCAATCAATAGTTTTTACCATGTTGCGGTTATGTCAGTTTTTTTTTCACGCAGAGCCATGTAGTGTACTAGAATTTTCTCTCTTATACAAACTTTAAAATTCTTGAGAATTAATAATTACCTTTGTCACTTGCTTAATTTCATATGCATCTATACTTAATATTTTTCAAATGTTCCATTGAATCTTCCCTACTCCGAACAGTACACTCAATTTTTTTTTTCTCCCTCCTGAAATCCTCTCTCCTACTTGAATCTTGACTTGCTGCTCTCTAGGCCTACGCTAAGCTATCCTGGGACTTCCCGGAGTTGGATTCTGTTTCCTGGATCCCAAGTCTGTCTTTCTTGGTTGACTCTTCATTTTGCTGGAGCACATCCTCTGGTTGTTCCCTTAAAAGGGTGAAGAGGAGGTAAATATTTTTGAGTTCTTGTGCAACTAAATATATCTTCACTCTACCCTCCCACTTTATTATAGTTTGGCTGGGTATAAAAGCCTGGGTTGGAAATATAAGCATCCTTTGTCATTCGAATCTATTTGCTTCTTGAGTTGGAATGCAAGTCTGGATAACAAGGGATACCTGTTTTATTTTTTTCCCTTAGATTTGTTTCCATTCTCCCTTTCTTTTGAACTTGTATTTGACTTGCTTTTTTCCTGGAAGCTTTTGAGATCTTCTCTCTTTCTCTGGTTCTGAAATTTCAGGATGAGTTGCCTACTGTAGTCTTTATTCATTAATCATCCTCACCCTAAGTCTGTCCTTTCAATGTGGAGATTCAGGCCCTTTGGTTCTGGGAAACTTTCTTATATACGTCTGTATTGATTTCTTCCCCTTAATTTTCTTGCTCTCTTTTTCTGGAACTTTTATTATATGGATGCTGGATCGTCTGGTGTGAGCCTTCAGTTTTCTTATCTTTTTGCTACTATTTTCCATCCCTTTGTTAATTTTCCCTTACTTTCTAGGAAATTTCCTTGACCTTGTCTTCTAATCCTTCTGTTAAAATTTACATTTTATCTATTATTTTGAATTCCCAAGAACTCTTTCTTGTTATTTAATCATTCATTTTTTCATAGCCTCCAGTTCTTATTTTATATATATATATTTTGTGTGTGTGAGGAAGACCGGCTCTGGGCTAACATCCATGCCCATCTTCCTCTACTTTATATGGGATGCCGCCACAGCATGGCCTGACAAGCAGTGTGTCGGTGCACGCCTGGGATCCAAACTGGCGAACCCTGGGCCATCGCAGTGGAGCGCCCGCACTTAACCGCTTGCGCCACTGGGCCGGCCCCTCTTATTTTATAAATGTGACATCTTCCATTATCTTGCTAGGTAGTTTTAAAAAGTACTTTAGTTACAGGTGGTTTTTGTGTTTGTTTTGTAGCTTTCTTCTTTTCCTGTATAATATTTGTTTTTTCTGGGCGTTTTTTTTTTGTATGTGTTTACACTAATCTGACCTCTCTTTTTCATAACAAAGATATGTTAGTTTCCTATCATTGCTGTAACAAGTTACCACAAACTTGGTAGCTTAAATAGTACAGATTTATTATCTTATAATTCTGGAACTCAGAAGTCTGAAATGGGTCCCAGTGGGCTAAAATCAAGGTGTTGTCAGGGTCATGTTCCTTTCAAAGGCTCTAGAGGAGAATCTATTTCCTTGACTTTTCCAGTTTCTAGAGGCTGCCTGGATTTCCACCAATAGTCTGTTTACAATGATTTAGGTATTCTCTAAGATGATAGAGGTTTTCTCTATCTTGTTCCTCACTTACTTCTGAGTCCCCACTAGCAGAACTGTTAACATCCATATTTCTACTAACAGTCTGTTCAAGGCAATCTAGCCTTTTCCCATCATCTTTTATATGTTCTTCCAGCCTCTGCCCATTGCCCAATTTGAAATCCACTTCCACATTTTTAGGTATTTGTGACAGCAGCGGACCCCACTTCCACTACCAAAATCTGTACTAGTTTCTCATTGCTGTTGTAACAAATTACCACAAACTTGGAGGCTTAAACAATACAAACGCATTATCTTACAGTCTGGAGGTCAGATATATGAAACAGGTCTCACTGAACTAAAATCAAGGTGTCAGCAGGGCTGAGTTCCTTTCTGGAGACTCAAGGGAAGAAGAATTTTTTCCTTGCCTCTTCCAGCTTCTAGAAGCTGCCTATGTTCCTTGGTTCACGGCCCCCTTCCATCTTCAAAACCAGTACCTGTATCACTCCCATCTCTTGCTTCCATTGTCACCTCTCCTTTTCTGACTCTGACCCTCCTGACTCCCTCTTTCACTTACAAGGACCCTTGTGAGTACATTGGGTCCACCCAGATAATCCGGGATAATCTCCTCATCTCAAGCTCCTTAACTTAATCACATTTGCAAAGTCCTTTTTGCCACATAAAGTAGCGAAGGAGAACAAGCAAACAAGGAGACAGAATTCCCTGCCTTCAAATTCAAATACCGTCTGGACCTTTGATGCTATTAAGCAGTGATTACTACTTTCTTTGAGGTCTGCTGATGATATTGTGGTTGTTTTTACAAAGAGTCCTTACTTTTAGAGATACCTCTGAAATAATTCTTGATGAAATGATACAATGTCCAGGATTTGCTTCAAAGTAATTGACTGGTGGGAGGGGAAATGGTTGGGGTGTAGATGAAGCGAGATCAGCCTTGAGCTGAAAATTGATGAAGCTTAGTCTATGTGGGGCTCCATTACCCTACTCTCCAAACTTTCGTGTCCGTTTGAAATTGTCCTTAAGAAACAGTTGTAAAATGCCTCTGCAATTGTACAGCCGGCATTCTAGTGGAAGAGACAGACAATAAACAAAATAATAAGCAAAAAATATATTGTATCAGATGCTGCTCACTGTTATAGAAAAAACTAAAGCAGGAGAGGTTATATTGCACCTGAATGGGAGATGTACTTGTTTCCTAGGGCTGCTGGATGGGCTGAAATCAAGGTGTTGGCAGGGCCGCCCTCTCTCTGGAGTCTCTAGGGGATAATTGGTTTCCTGGCCTCTTCCGGCTTCTCG